GCCCCATGCCCCACTTTGGGCATAAAAATCTTGGGGAGCATGTGCCCCACCCCAACCACATTGCCTGTGCCCCCCCCATGCATCCACCCCATTCTCCACACTAGGGGTGGGGGGAATACATCCATTGTCTTAAGCCCCCCCCCACTCCCACCCCAGCAAAACGAAAAGTTGGTGCCTATGGGAACTGGACTGCAGAAGAGAAGATGAAGAGGGGGATTTGATAGCAGCCTTCAACTACCTGAACAAGGAGCAATGGTCTCAAGTTGCAACAAGGGAAGTTTAAGTTGGATATTAGGAAAAACGTTCTCACTAAAGGGGGGAAGCACTGGAACGAGTTTCCTGAAGAGGTGGTGGAATCTCCATCCTTGGAGGTTTTTAAGGCCCAGCTCAACAAAGCCCTGGCTGGAATGATCTGATTGGGAATGGTCCTGCTTTGAGCAGGGGGTTGGACTAGATGTGACCTCCTGAGGTTCTTTCTAACTCTAATTTTCGATGACTCTATGATTCTATGATAAAGGTATGAATTGATATAGACACTTTTTGCATGCTTGAAAGCAATGAAGTTATGAATATTTTTAGCACTAGGTTTTTTTTAATAGGGCAAATTAGATTTATTCTATTAAATTTAATAAAGGGGGAAAGAATTGCATCTTTTTTGTTTGTCATGTTTTTAAGACGCTAACAATTTTTCACACAGTTGCAACACAAGCAACATAGAACAGAAAATGTAGATGGTTCAGAACCTCCATAAAATTAAGTTGTGCCAAGTTCATCACTGCATGAAAACGGTGGTTTTGCTGCATAGCATCCCACACTCTGGGACTGACTGATTTGGAGATTGCATCCTGGTGAGAACAGAAATATCTTTTCCAGGTTTACTGATGGGGAAACTGAGTACTGAAGTGGGCAAGTCACAGCCTCCGGCCAAAGTCACAGTACCAATCAGTGACAAATGGGAATAAAACAGATCTTCTGACTCTCATGTTTTAACATGCTCTCTTCTGAGAAAAGAATAAAAGGGTGCATGTCAGTCACTTCTACAAGCAGCTGTAATTCATCTATGTCTAACCTTGTTAGACTCAAGGCACCCTTTGGAAAATGACAACTCTTAGTTTCCACTTGTTTTGATTACAGAAAAATAAGATAAACTTTTCTATTGTGAAGAAGTCAGACCACAACAGGTCAAAATGGTTTTAATGCTATTGATTCATGTTTGAAATTTGTGTGTTTCCCCCACAAGTGGGAATGTGTGTTTCTCCAGGGGCAAACAGCAGCAGCACAAGGTGTGCTGCTGTTACTTGTCACCAGGGAATGCCCCTGGCCTGCATGCTCTGGTGTACAGCACCACTGGAGTAGGGGAGGCTGAGGCCAGCAATTGTGCTGGCCCCAGCAGCCTTACCTGGGGTCCTGGTGGCTTCCAGGAGCTGCAGCTGTGGTGATTCTGCAGCAGGGAACCTGACTGGCAGCTGGTGTGGCTTCAGTCAGCCAGGCTCCAGTTTTGGGCAGCATGCACTGCCACCATGTGTGCTGCCCTACCTTTGTTTTATAGGTGTGGGGGGTTTTTGACCCCAGGACAGCAAGTCACAGCATGGGGAACACCAGCACGAGCAGTATATGTGGTGTGTGGCACCACAGACGGGTTTGCAGTGCCACGTACTGCACGTCTGCATTCGTCTGGACATGCCCTCTGAGTTTATAATGTGAACCACATTTGCACACCTGACAGTGCATCAGCGTTGAAAGGTTCTCAAGGCATCCCAGGGTTCCTGGTTGAGAATCACTGATCTATGTCATACTGTCATATCTACTGACAAACCGGTACCATGGCCTGCAACAAACAGTCAGTCCCAAGAAATGTGAATGACCTGTTGACCAGTTAAAATGGCACTGAGTTATGCTACATAACAACTGGGATGGGCAATCAGTCAATATGGGCTCTTGCATGAAGTCATGTTTACTAGACGCTCCAGGTATACACAGCAAATAGACAAGCTCCCCAGAAGGCTATTTTCCAGGATTGAAGTACAGTGCAGAGATTAATTCTGTGGGAGAGGGTTTCCTCTCTGATATTGTTTTAAGTTAAATATTGGAAATCTAAATGCCTAAAAATCTCTAGAGTAATCCAGTGGTTATTTTATTGTATGATTATTAGCCTAAATCTGCATTTGGTTAATGTGCTAAAGCAACCCATGGTATGTTTAAAGCTGAACTTAAAAAGATGTGCCTGGCTTTAGTTCAAATGTAAATTGCCTGGTACAGATACATGAAGGTTCAATTACAACTATCGAGCTAGTCTGCCTTTCATGGTATGATTTTTCCTATAGTTCACAGTTATCACTTGTTCAGTAATCCAAGTCACTGATTCTACCCCCCCAGCTTTTTGGGTCCACTCTGTAGATGAGCAGATCCCCCTGCTAAGCTTTTCCTGATGCTGAGCATCTTTTTTTCCCCTGGTTGTGCCCTACCTTAAGTAGTTTTGTGTAATAACAGTAGCATTTAAGTACTGACTCCATGGGATACAGCAGAGAAATAAAAGGTATTTCCCCGTGTCTCTTTAAAGCTTTCCAAATAACTGTGCTAAATCTCAGCCAAAGTTTATTATGATAGAGTTGGTAGTGCTGCCCATGGTTTCCCCATTCCACAGTGCTGCTGCATTTACATAAAAGAATCTTTTCTTGAAAAGATGGCAAGCAAGTGATGCAAATTAATTTCAAGCTTGTTTCATTTGCATTCGGCTCAGCAGCACACTGTACTACAAAAGGCAGGAACTTGCTGGTCTCTGCAACATGCAGTCACCTGGAAGCAAAAATGTGTTAGTAATTGTAGTGCCTCAGAAGTCAAGCAGCAGTAAAACGGCACAAAGAACTGTTGTTTAGGTGTTGTTTAACTGTTGTCTAGCAGTTCCAGAACAGGTTATGATGCTACAGAGCTAGATGCTATATAAAGACATTGTGAGAGAGTGTGTTATCTCGGTTGTGTAAACCAAGGTTTGGTGAAGAAACTGAGGCACACAGAGGCCAATTCTGCACAGCAGGCCAGATTGAGGAACCTACCCAGCGCTCCTGCTTCCAGACCAGTGCCCAACAAGACTTTCATCCTAACGTTTTACTTCTGGGTGCAGTCAATAAGATCCACCTAGCAATATAGTTCTAGTTTTACAGGAAAGACGGTTATAAACCGGCTGTTTTGAAGTAGACATCTGGGAAAAGAAATGGACCTTTGACCAAACTATGTTAGTGCTGTGTCCTTACAGACAGCATCGAATTCTGCTGCCATGGCTCCAGGTCTCTCTGACTTTTGTGGCAGACCTGCATAATTGTTAAAGGAGCAGGGCTCAGGGAAACACAAATCTGGCATTCCCTTAGTGGGGTTACATGAAATCAAATGATTCATCCCTTTATAGTGTGAAGTCCTTGTTGTGGTCTTGTCAAAAGCCAGAGTATTTTGCAACCAAGATGTTTCAGAAGCTGAAGTACTTGCAGGTATCTACGAGCAGGTCTCGTCAGTTGTGGGTGAGAGAGCAACCTGTCTTGTGGTTACACTCTCAACTTCTGCAGGAGCTCAGAGGTGCTTTTCTACAGCGCAGTTCCTGCCTCTGATTGTTGTTTTAGTTTCCTCAGGGAATTCAATATTATGATAGCTGTTGGGAAGCTTTTGTTTCTGACTCTTCCTTTTGCCATGGCTCATCTGGAAAGAAAGTTCTTCCAATTGGAGTCTGCATCTTTACCCCCTAGCTTTCTGAAACGTTGCTTAATTCTCTCTTGTTCCCTACTGCCTTCCTGGAACCAGTATCCGGGTCTTCCTGGCATCAGGTCTGTGGCTCAGCAATGCCCTCCCATGGCGCACTGTATGCAGACCTCTTTGAGAACATTGCCTTCACCACCTGTGACGGACGACAATACTAGTCGATACTGAGCACTCCTTTCTATCTGTGCGGTCTTGCCTGATTCATCCCCCCAGCAGGGTTACAACCTGGAGAAACTGGAGGACAGGTTCACCTTTTTAGGTGCTGCTTTTTGTCACAATTGTATCTGCCTTGTAGCTCATCTTGTCCTGAAATGCAAGTTCCTCTGCATCTCAAAGGAGTCTAATGCCAGCATCAATACAGTGGAACAAATATTTATTCCCTTCCTTATAATATAAGCATCCAGGAAGGCTAGGAGAATGAGTTGATTGCAGATTTTACAAGGGAGACTAGACTTTACAGCTGCCTGAAGGGAAAAAAGAACTTGGCTTATATCACAGGTCTGAGATCCAGGAAATTTAGGTTCCAGTTGGTCTCTAATCCCCATGTTGTGACCTTTAAGTTGCAGACCCTTTCTGTACTTCTATAAAACTAGATGAATATTTCTCTATTTTTGAGGAGGTTTGGAGGTAGTCACCTGTATAATGCGCGTGGAGACCCTGCGTGCTTTAGTGTTATCAAAAATACAAGTTCGCACTGACGCAGCGTCACACTCCCAATACGCGTCTGGGAAAACCTGGGATGGAAACCACCGCTCATAACGCGTCTTTACTAACTTCTGCAAGCCTGCGCGCAGCGAGTCGGAGCAGCGTGGACAGGAGCGGGGGGATGCCACCGATCAAATCGCACCCTAAATAAGAAATGCTTTAAAAGAATTTGGTTTAAAAACAAAAATAAAAAAGTTGGCAGCGCCTAGTGCTATTGCAAGAGAAACCATGTGCTGACTGCCACCGAGAAAGGTCCTTCCACTTGAAAGAAGAGGGGGAAAGTAGTGGGGCAGGTTTGGTTTAAAAAAATAAATGACTGAGAGGAAAAGAAACGCCCCTGAGGTCTCATCACAAGGTGGCTTTCCTCTGCCAGGTCCCATCTCCCTTCCTCGGGGGTGCACCCTAGGGGGCGTCACTTGGGCATCACAAGGTGGCACAGGAGGCTGGTTGGGGCTGTTTCTCCCCGGGTACCAAGATCGCCTTTCAGCAATGCGGCTGGCCGCTAGGTGGCGCCGCGAGCTCAGGCGGCGCCGGACGAGGCGGGGCTGGGGGCGGGGCGTGCGCGGGGCCTGGGAGGGCGCGGGCCGCGATGCTGCAGCCCGGGGCCGGGGAGGAGTGCGGGGCGTGCGGCTTCGCCCTCAGCCTCGGCCCGGAGGTAGGTGTGCGCTCCTGCGGCCCTGCCCCTGACGCCCCCGGCGCCGGGGGGCCCTGCACTGAGGCGACTTGCCCGGCGGAGCGGGGAGCGCGGCCCGGGCTTTCCTCAGGCGGGCGCTGCAGCCCTGCTCCCGCGTCAGGAGCGGGGGTCTCCTGTGCTGTGCTGTGCTGTGCTGTGCTGTGGTGCTTAGGGGTGCTCACCTTTTCCGCATAGGACTCACGGCCACATCTGGCTGGGGGTCCCAGTCCGGCCCCCAGCACGGGCGCAGCAGTGCCCCACGCGCCTGTGTGGCGGGGGAGCGCGTAACCCAGTCCTAGGGGCAGTGGGGCAAGGCCTGGCCCTGCGGGCAGTGGGACCCCAGTCTGGAGGAGGAGCTGTCTTGGCTCGGACGTGCTGCGCAGGGCTTGGGAGCGGGAGGGGGTGGCTGTATTAGCTGCCGTTGCTTCCCCGTGCCCAAGTGTCCTCCCCTGTGAGGGGCTCCACGGATGCACAGACCATCTTTGGAGGCTGAAGACCCCTGGTCCAGGGGAAGGAATACTTGGGATACTTGATCCCTGCTCTAAATAGTCACAAATTTAAGCCACAAAATGTGCCCTGTCCCCTTTTGCCTCCATAGGTTCATTCCACTTTTGACCCCCTTTTTTTTTTGCACGATTACATCCATTCCCTTTCTCCTGTCTGCATGCACTACTTTATCGTTGGCATTAAAGGCTACTTATTTCTGCGTGGCTTTCCCGGTGTGTGTCCCCTCCAAGATGTGACTCCGTGTTGTTCCCCCCGATGCGCCTCGTCCCCAGAGAATTTGCACGCTCCTCGCATCACGGACAAGTTCGGTGGTTTTTTTGGAGCCACGTGTCGACTAATTTTATTCTTCAAAGCTGTTTCAGGTGGCTGAAAGACGCTTATTTTTAAGAACGGGATCTTCAAATATTGAAACCATGTTGGAGTAGATTTCCCTCGTACAAAACGGAATGGGCAGTCTGTCATGTTTGAGCAATTTCTCATGTTTTATGCTGTTGGTCTCAATGCAAAAAAGTTTTATCAGTGTGTTACCCTGTAAACCCTTTGCAGCCAGATTTAGTCTTTATCTGTTTTGTAAAGTCCCATTTACCCTGATGGTGCAGTATATGACGTGATAACTGTAGTAACTTTTCTAGTTTTATCACAACAAAGAATTTGCAAATTATTATCAAACCTGACTCCTCCAGGAAAAACAGAAACAACTTTTGCTTCTTGTAAGTCATTCAGTTTCTTTCAGGGTTCTTGAGCTGAAATTACCTATTTTAAGTGTACCTTGTATGTAGCACATCGTCGTCGTCATCACATCACATCACATCATCATCTCTTGTCAAATACGGGGCTACAACAGATGAATGTCAGATTTATATTTACAAAATAACCATGGCTTTTGAGAAATTCTTAAAAATTTCCCCCTCTGCTTGCTTTCTGTCACCACCAGTTGCAAGTATTAGAGTAAGAGATTTTCAAAATCAAAATGCCCAGAAAAAATTGGATGCCACCTACAACTCATTTAACATACAACTTATGCCATGCTCTCCATGGGAAAGAATTTTTTAACTATGTTGATCAACCAGTCGTCGCATCCCAAAACAAGGTAACGCTGGATGTAGAAACATTCAGAAACATGAAAAATGCATTGCAAAGTTGAGAACACTTCGGAAAACCTTATATGACCTAGGCCCTTACTGTGATGCAGTTCAATCTACTTGTCTTGTCTAGGCCTTTTTGTGCCCTTTGATTCCTGCTCTACATTGAATATTTTTTTCCTTTAACATTTTCTTGTAACTTTCCAAAATTAACAGTGGAGGACATCTTACAGGAAAAACCCACTTGATTTCCAGCAGCATTGGTGTCTGTTTGCATTTATAGCATATTTTTTAGAGATACATAGTTCAGTTTAATTATTTTGAAGGTTAGTTTCGTTCATTTGGTCCTAATTAGATTCTAAGAGAGCATTTCACAAGCTAACAAAAGCCTTAACTTTTAAGGTTAAGGTTGGAGACCTTTTGGAAAGCTTTGTAGAAAAAACTTAATATTGCTTTTCTTTTTAATGTTCCATAATACAGTGCCTTAAATTACCATAGCACTTTATAAGCACTCCTAAAGCATTTCCTAGTCTAGAATATCAGATCCAGGGCAGCAGATTGTATAAAGAAGGGGGTGGTTATATGTGGAGAAGAAGGAAGACTTTCTGGGGAAGCCAGAGAGGCAACTTGATGCATAACAATTGAGAAATGGTTCTGAGGCTGAACAAGGACAGTGCAAGAATCGAGAGAAAAGAAGTGGTGAGGAGAGGCTTGGAGGTAGGCAGGGCTGAGGTTTTATATAGCTTTGCAGGACAGAAGGAAGAGGGTGAACTTAATGTGTAGAGGAGCCCATAGTTGGTTCAAAGAGGAGTGCTTAGAGAGGAAGGTGATTTTTTTAGATACAGCATATATACTTGGTGGCTTTGTAGAAAGGACAGCTCCTCTCAATGCTAAATACCACATCTTTTTTTTTTCTTCCCTTAGGTTAGAAAATGGCATATTGATTATTTTAATTTTCTCTTATTTTTACAAAAAAGGTGTTGGGGATGACAGTCCAAGATCTTTATTTATTAAACTTATCTCCAAGTGTAGACTGTCAGTAGCCCCAAATGGTGATAACAGTCCAGCCTGAACTCTGATGCTCTTGTGTCTTACATAAGGATCAACCTTCACTTCATGTTTCCACTGTAACTCTGAAATGTGCTTAGTGGGCCTTAACTCAGACCTTAATAAGATGCTTCAGGTGTCTATCATATAAAGTGCAATTGTTTCCATAATCACCTGGAAAGAGCTTGTTACAGTTTGCTAAGTGCCTAATTACAGGTGTTTGTAAATGTGTACTGTTTATATTACAGTTTTCAAGAGGCCCCTCTAAGGTGTTACAGAAAGTGCTGTAAATGCATGATTAGGAGCTCAGTCTACTTTTTCCTGTTTTCACAATTGCTGTGAAACAGCTGAACACTTGCAGCTCCGTCCAGTTTAAAAACAGGATGTTGGCTTTGTCAAAACCTATTTTGCCATCCTACTGAGGTGTTTTAAAGAAACAGTGTTAAGTGCTACTCAGAGATTGCAGCTCAGATGGAGTCAAAGGTAGTAAGTAATGCTTCTAACAGTAATGATTAAATCATATCTGGTCGGGCTTGGGATAAGTTACTCTTTAAATATGTTAGATATCACTCCTCTCCTGCCACACTTGCTGCTTAGTCCATATATCTTTGTGAGCAAAGACTGCCAGTTATGACCGACCATGGATTAGTTGGTGAGGCTGAAGCTTGTCTGCTCATGGTGTGTCTGGTAGACTTAGTTAAAGTAACACAAAGGCTGGCAGGCCAAATGCAGTTCCTGTATACGGATGTGACTTTAACTCAGTCAATGACATTTACGTTTTTGCTACTATCCCTCCATCTCACCATTGCTAGCGCATTGATATGTATGGCTTATCTGTAAAACACTTCACATCAAGGTGTAAATCTAGTGGCCCCACCTTTGGGACTAATTGGGCATCTGATGGGAAAAATGGAATAAGTCAGAAGCTCCTCCAGGAAAAACAGAAACAACTTTTGCTTCTTGTAAGTCATTCAGTTTCTTTCAGGGTTCTTGAGCTGAAATTACCTATTTTAAGTGTACCTTGTATGTAGCACATCGTCGTCGTCATCACATCACATCACATCATCATCTCTTGTCAAATACGGGGCTACAACAGATGAATGTCAGATTTATATTTACAAAATAACCATGGCTTTTGAGAAATTCTTAAAAATTTCCCCCTCTGCTTGCTTTCTGTCACCACCAGTTGCAAGTATTAGAGTAAGAGATTTTCAAAATCAAAATGCCCAGAAAAAATTGGATGCCACCTACAACTCATTTAACATACAACTTATGCCATGCTCTCCATGGGAAAGAATTTTTTAACTATGTTGATCAACCAGTCGTCGCATCCCAAAACAAGGTAACGCTGGATGTAGAAACATTCAGAAACATGAAAAATGCATTGCAAAGTTGAGAACACTTCGGAAAACCTTATATGACCTAGGCCCTTACTGTGATGCAGTTCAATCTACTTGTCTTGTCTAGGCCTTTTTGTGCCCTTTGATTCCTGCTCTACATTGAATATTTTTTTCCTTTAACATTTTCTTGTAACTTTCCAAAATTAACAGTGGAGGACATCTTACAGGAAAAACCCACTTGATTTCCAGCAGCATTGGTGTCTGTTTGCATTTATAGCATATTTTTTAGAGATACATAGTTCAGTTTAATTATTTTGAAGGTTAGTTTCGTTCATTTGGTCCTAATTAGATTCTAAGAGAGCATTTCACAAGCTAACAAAAGCCTTAACTTTTAAGGTTAAGGTTGGAGACCTTTTGGAAAGCTTTGTAGAAAAAACTTAATATTGCTTTTCTTTTTAATGTTCCATAATACAGTGCCTTAAATTACCATAGCACTTTATAAGCACTCCTAAAGCATTTCCTAGTCTAGAATATCAGATCCAGGGCAGCAGATTGTATAAAGAAGGGGGTGGTTATATGTGGAGAAGAAGGAAGACTTTCTGGGGAAGCCAGAGAGGCAACTTGATGCATAACAATTGAGAAATGGTTCTGAGGCTGAACAAGGACAGTGCAAGAATCGAGAGAAAAGAAGTGGTGAGGAGAGGCTTGGAGGTAGGCAGGGCTGAGGTTTTATATAGCTTTGCAGGACAGAAGGAAGAGGGTGAACTTAATGTGTAGAGGAGCCCATAGTTGGTTCAAAGAGGAGTGCTTAGAGAGGAAGGTGATTTTTTTAGATACAGCATATATACTTGGTGGCTTTGTAGAAAGGACAGCTCCTCTCAATGCTAAATACCACATCTTTTTTTTTTCTTCCCTTAGGTTAGAAAATGGCATATTGATTATTTTAATTTTCTCTTATTTTTACAAAAAAGGTGTTGGGGATGACAGTCCAAGATCTTTATTTATT